GGCCGGGGCCGGGGCCGGGGCCGCAGCGCGGGGCGGCTGCGGGCGCTCCGCTCCGCTCCGCTCCCCCCCTCGCTCCCCCTTCCCTCGCCCTCCCCTGCAGGCGAGCCGTTCTCCAACCCGCTGGCCCCCGACGGGCACGATGTGGACGACGCGCACCCCTTCCACCAGTGAGTGCCGCGGCGCGGGGCGGGATGGCCGCGGCGCCCGTCACCGCCGCCTCCGTGACCGCCGCTCCCCGCAGGTCCAAGCTCACCAACGAGGACTTCCGCAAGCTGCTCATGACGCCGCGCGCGGCGCCCGCCGCCGCGCCGCCCTCCAAGTCCCGACACCATGAGTGAGTAGCGGCCGCCCCGCGGGGCCGCCCGGCCCGCGCACACAGACACACACAGACACACACGTGTCTGTCCGTGCCCGTCTGCGTGTCCGTGCCCGTCTGCGTGTCCGTGCCCGGGTCTCTGTCCGTGCCCGGGTCTCTGTCCATGCCTGTCTCTCTGCCTGCCCCCTGTAACGGGGTATTTGAAGCCCTATGCACACAGGCCCTGGCGGGAGGGCTTTGCCTTTGCTCTGTGCTCCGTCCAGGCTGCCTCTCCATTGATACAGCTAACTGGATAAATAAGCCAGAGTGGGATTGTCAGAGTGGGATTTTGCGTTTTGTGGAGGATCTAAAGAGGCAGCTGGGGCTCTTTGCTCCGTGGGAGCATTTGGGCACCTCCATGCCCTGTTGCTGCCGTTCTGTTCCGCTGCCTGTGTGACCGTGCAGCTCATGGCGTGTGCTGCTGCTGCTTGCTCTTCTCCAGGATGCCCCGGGAGTACAACGAAGATGAGGATCCAGCTGCTCGCAGAAGGAAAAAGAAAAGGTAAACGGGGAAACCGATGCATCAGGAGATGCTTCCCGTTACATGCCCTGCAGCTCTAACACCGAGCTCTTTCCCCAACGCAGCTACTACGCAAAGCTGCGGCAGCAGGAGATAGAGCGGGAGCGGGAGCTGGCCGAGAAGTACAGGGACCGAGCCAAGGAGAGGAGAGACGGCGTCAACAAGGACTACGAGGAGACGGAGCTCATCAGCACGACTGCCAACTACAGAGCTGTGGGGCCCACTGCGGAGGCGTACGTGAGCCCGGCGCCTGGCCTCGTCCTGCTCGTCTGCTCTGCTGCCGCTCTGCCAGCTGCCCCCCTTCTTGTTGCACAGGGATAAGTCGGCCGCGGAGAAGAGGAGGCAGCTGATCCAGGAGTCCAAGTTCTTGGGGGGTGACATGGAGCATACTCACTTGGTGAAGGGGCTGGACTTCGCACTGCTGCAGAAGGTGGGCCCAGGTGTCATGCTGGGCAATTTCACTTGTGTTTCCCTGTCCATCCTATTCTTCTCTAGGGGTGGAGGGTGAGGAGAAGGTGGTAGTCGCTGCTCCCAGGCTCTTCAGCATGTTCCTGGGATAGCCAGGGTTGGGGTTTTTTTTGTTTTGTTTTGTTTTTTTTTTTGCATAGGGTTTAGAGGGGGCGGGGATCTGGAGGAGGAACTTCTGATGCTTCACATGAGCGTTGGTCTGTAATGCTTGGACTTGCTTTGTGGCCAGGTACGAGCTGAGATTGCCAGCAAGGAGAAGGAGGAGGAGGAAATGATGGAGAAGCCCCAGAAAGAAACCAAGTAAGTGGCTGAAGGTGTTGGAGGGAGGGAGGGAGGAGGGAACAGACGAGCATTCACTCTACGCTGCTCTTTTTTTTAGGAAAGATGAAGATCCTGAAAACAAAATTGAATTTAAGACTCGGTTGGGTAAGACTGCATTACGTGGCTGCTCGCCACCTTGCGTAGGTTGTGCCATGAGGGGTGGGAGAGATCTTGTAGGGTGGAGGGAAGAATGAAAGTCTTAACTTGTTGGACAAGAGGCTCTGGCAAACAGGAATGTCTCTGTGCTGTAGAAACTGTGATTTTGAGGGCTGGAGAAAGTATCTCTGCCAGCAGCCGATCTCTGTTTGGCTTCAGATGCCTCAGCCTGGGCCTCTCCGTGGCTCTCTCACGCGTTGCCTTCCTTCAGGGCGGAACATCTACCGCATCTTGTTCAAGAGCAAGGCCTACGAGCGCAACGAGCTGTTCCTGCCGGGGAGGATGGCCTACGTGGTGGATCTGGATGATGAGTATGCCGATACGGATATCCCAACCACGCTGATCCGCAGCAAGGCCGACTGCCCCACTATGGAGGTACCCAACTTGCAGCCAGCTTGCCCGACGGCTTTGTGTTAAATTGGCCAGGGCCTGGCAAGAAGGGCTGCCTGGCTAGAGAATCAGCTGCGCCCTTGGGGCTTTCTTCCAGGCACAAACTACGCTGACCACAAATGACATCGTCATCAGCAAACTGACACAGATCCTTTCCTATCTCAGGCAAGGGACCCGCAACAAGAAGCTCAAGAAGAAAGACAAAGGTAGGAGCTCGCCTAGCAGGATATTTTGCTCGAACCGCAGCTCGGAAGAGCGGGATGTGTTTGGATGGCATCAGACTTCCCTGCACCTTGAGGTGGAGGACGGTCACTTCCTAGAGTCCCCAAGCGCTAGGTCCAGACGGGAACAGAAGGGCCTGGGAACTCTGAGCTGCAACGGTTGCAGTTGTTGCCTCTTCCATGGTTAAGTCACTGTTCCTTGCAAGCTGCCCCTTGTCAGGGAGGGAGGACCGTGGCAGCTGGCTGAGAGGGTCTCCTGTGATGTAGGAGCTCACCAAGAGCCTTGCAGGAACTTAAGGAGCAGGGTAGGAGCAGTGAAATAGTGTACATGAGGTGGAGGGTGAGCTGCGGCTGACTACTGATGTGTCTTTGCAGGGAAGCTGGATGAGAAGAAACCCCCTGAAGCTGATATGAAGTAAGTGACTCCCCTAGGGCTTTAGGGTTGTAGTGTTCTGCTCTTTGGAATCTCTCTTTGGATTGGGAGAGGACTGGGTTTAGGGCATCTGGAGCAAGGTGCCTCTCCAGGTGCCATTTCTTTGAGCTGTTTTTAAGACAAAGCTGGGGGCAAGCCCTGGTTTTAGTTCAGGTTTGAGGTGCGCAAAGGCTCTGTGTTGTCCTCGACTACAGGAGAAGCAAGTCCAGGCAGTAGGAGAGAGGAGAGTTGCCCTTGGATAGATACGGAAGCCTGTGAGCAGCCTTGGCTATCTGCTTTGTTAGGCTGCAGTTCAAGGGGAGGTGGCCCCTCCTGCTGTGACATTCCTAACTGGAGGCTTTTTTTCCTCTCTGTAGCATCTTTGAAGACATCGGGGATTACGTTCCCTCCACTGCGAAGGTGCCACGGGAGAAGGAGCGGGAGAGGTACCGCGACAGGGAGCGCGACCGGGACAGGGAGCGTGACAGGGACCGGGAGCGAGACCGGGAGCGCGACCGGGAGCGCGAGGAGGAAAAGAAGAGGCACAGCTACTTTGAGAAACCTAAAGCTGATGATGAGGTGAGTCCCTGCTTACAAAGTTTGGGCTTTCTGGGGGTTAGTGCTCTGAGGGCTTTTGGTGTCTCCCTGGTCGTGTCACCACATGTGCCTGTGTTTAGCAGTCCTGTCCGCTAAGCCCTGTCTCACAGAGCTGGGAGCTGGTGGGTGGCTGGGTGATTGTCCTCTTCAGCAGTAAGGCTGGACTGGAATGAGCTGCTGGCCCTCATGGCTTAATCCTATATATACACGCTTGCCACAGACAGTCCCAGGTGGAGCTGCACATCCGGCAGCACCCTTGCTAACACTGGCATCTCTTCTTTTTCTTTCCAGCCTGCAGACATCGACAAAGGTGAGTCAAGTCATGTGGATTTCTGAGTGAGGCTGGATGTCTGAGCAAGGCTGGCTGGGATTGCAGGCTGCAGAAGTGCTAATTAGCTCCAACTCTTTAGTCTGCATGAGTTATACTGGCCTGTGTGGGACCCCAGAGAACAGGAGGAACTGCCTGTCCTGAGGGATGAGAGTAAAGAGCCTTGTGCCTCCAGGATGCTTCATGCCAGGCTTGCCTGAATGTGTGTGCAAATAGTTTTCTGCCAGTAGACCAGCTTGTGCGGGCTGTAAATAATGAAGTTTAAGGATAAATAAGGAAGCCTTAGGATCAGTCTTGCAAAAATTGCCCCTCGCTAGTGCTGCTCTGTCATTGGTCGGGAGTTTGGTTTTCCTTGTTTTCTGCCTCGTGTGCAGCCCGTCCCTGCTTCCTGCTGTCCCATGCTGGGATGGTCCATCCCTTCCTGTGGCAGCCACAGGAGGCTGTATGGATTGGTGCTGCAGGAGGGAGCCCCTGACAGCCCTGCACGTGTAACAAGAGGGGCTGCTCCGCCAGCAACACTCACTCTGCTGCTCTCTCTATCCCAGGGCCTGGCTCAGCCAAGGAGCTCATCAAATCCATCAATGAGAAGTTTGCTGGAGCTGCTGGCTGGGAAGGAACGGAAACATATCCTTTGCCAGCCTGCATGACTGCAGGGCTGGGCATCCTTTGAGGCGAGCCTCGCGTGAGCACAGCTCTGTGCCTGCCCTCCCCCAGGCTCCCTCTGATTTAGTCATAAAACGTCACCCAAGCCTTGCTGCATATCATGCACTGCGTACAAGTCTTGCAGCCTCCAAGTTCTTTGTGGTGGAGCAAGCGTACGGTTGTGGGGGGTCCATCTCCATAAGAGGAAAGGCTTCTTCATTGTGATGGTGACAGAGCCCTGGAACAGGCTGCCCAGGGAGGTTGTGGAGTTCCCTTCCCTGGAGGTCTTCCAAACCTGCCTGGGTGCCACCCAGTGCCACGCGTTGTAGGTGTTCCTACTTGAGCAGGGAGATTGGACTAGATCTCTAGAGGTTCCTTCCAACCTCACCCACTCTGTGATTCTGTGAGTTGCTCTTTGCCTGGCTGTGCCCTTTGCTGTGGGGCTCCAGAGTCCTGCCCTGCTATCGTTTTCTTTAACTAGTGTCACGCTGAAGAAGCCGGAAGACAAGAAGCAACTGGGCGACTTCTTTGGCATGTCCAACAGCTACGCTGAGTGCTACCCAGCCACGTAAGGGAGCCCCAGGGCGGGAGCGGGACATGCCATAGGGTTGCTGCTCTCTGGCAGCAGGAGCTGACATGTTAGCCCCACTGGCACTTGCTGTCTGTGTTTGGAGGGGTTTGCCACCCTCTACAACTGGTAAAATGCCCTCTGGGTCAGTGGTTCAGGTAGGGGGGACCTTCTCAGCAGGTCTCTGCTGGAAACCTGGATCCTGTTGCCCGTTCCAGTCCTTTCCCCAGTGTGGGGGGCTTGGAGTCTGCTTGATGTCCTGGTAAAGGATGTTCTCAATGAGGTCTGGCCATAGTTTTCAGCTTGCAGAGTTATCTTAGGATAAGACCATTTAGTCTGACCTTCAATGCGCTTGTGATCCAGGTTTACCTCCAGGGTTTGCACATGTAGCAAGGTCCCTGTAGTCCGCTGAGTCTCCCCTGAGGGAGAGCTCCCATCAGCTTGCTGTGTCGTGAGGTGCTCACCTGTGTCTCGAGGAGCTCCCTCCAAGCACTCGTCTTGCTTTCCTTTCACAGAATGGATGATATGGCTGTGGACAGTGATGAAGAAGTGGACTACAGCAAAATGGATCAGGTATGCTATGTTTCGGACCTGGCAAGTGAGCTAGGCTGAGAGGAGCTCAGAGAAGGGGAACTTGCTTGTGCAGAGTGGTGGATATGTGGGGCTGGATGGTGAACGTGTTGCAGGGCTTTCTGAAGGGCTGTGTGCGACCCTGTGTCACACGCTCTGGGTGTCCCTGCTTGAACAGGGGGGTTGGACTAGATGATTTTTGGACGTTCCTTCCAACCTCAACCATTCTGTGATTCTTTAGGACTGTGAAGTAACTATTGCTCTGGGGAGCAAATAGGCACTGCTTTCTGCCACTTCGTTGAGAAGTCCCTGGGCTGTGACCGTCTCTTGGCTCCCTGTTCCACAGCATCTTGTCTTTGGGATTCCTCAGGGCAGGGATATCGGAACCAAACCCAGGCTTGATGCTACAGTCCTTCTTTGTAGCATTGAACTGGAGCTGACGGGAGGCTGAGATCTTTCCTGGGTCCACAGGCTGCTTGAGAAGCCTTGGGAAACATGAAGTGAGGAGCAACGCTGACTGTCTTTTTTCTTTGCTGCAGGGTAACAAGAAAGGGCCCCTGGGCCGCTGGGACTTTGACACGCAGGAGGAGTACAGTGAATACATGAACAACAAAGAGGCTCTGCCCAAGTGAGTGCAGCGCTTCTGAAAGGCTGGAGGATGTAGCTGGAGGAGGGTTCTAGGTGGGGACTGGCCAAGCCTGTGCCCCGGGGGAGGTTAAATCAAGGAGAGGATCCCCTGTTGAGGGCTAGAGGAAGGTACCCCAAATCTGGTGCCTGGTGGCCTTGTCTCTGCACTTGGTGTCTCCCTTTGGGACACCCAGCCACTGTTTTCAGGGCTCCAAGCCAGGTCTGTAAGTGGAGCAGACCTGAGTGTCCATGCCCCTGTGTGCCCAGTGCCTCTGCTCTGCATATTGAGCTGTCTTACCGCTCTCCTCCCCCAGAGCGGCATTCCAGTATGGAATCAAGATGTCCGAGGGGCGCAAAACGCGTCGCTTCAAGGAGACGAACGACAAGGCAGAGCTGGACCGGCAGTGGAAGAAGATCAGCGCGGTGAGTGCCTGGGCTTGGGTGCTGCCAGGGCTAAGGGCTGCTAACAGATCCTGTGGTCAGGAGCGTCCTCACCGAGCTCTGCACTTGCTGGTGTCTCTCTCTGGTCCAGCCTGTGTCACTACAGCAGGTCTGGCTCTCTGGACACCCCCTTTACCAGATCATCATCCAGACCCGACTCCTTGGGGCCTCAGGAACAAGGAGGTAGCCAGAGGTTCTGGTTCTTTTGCAGCTCTTGCCGCTGGGGCGGCCCTGATCGGGGTGCCTTTGCTCAGGGCCCCAGGACTCTGCTGCAGATGAGAGTTTCTGAGCCACCTGGTTGGGCTTGGAGGGGACTGTGTGTGTTACTGGCTCCCTGATTCCCAGCTGACAGTGCTGGGAGCTCTGTGAGGAGTCATGACAGGATGTGAACATGGCAGTCTGTGAACAACCTGATGGCATAAGGTGGCCTAGGAGAAAGCAAGACCAAGAAGGCTAAGAAAACAGCCTGTCCTTGCTGGCCTAGGTGGAGCAAGAGGAAACAGGCTGGGCCCTTCTAGGGTTTGGGCAGCTCATGGCACAGCTTTCCAATACCCTAGCTGCCTCTAGCCCAGTGATGCAAGATCTGAGCTCCATCCTGCCTTCTCCTTGAGCAGGGTGCCTTATCCTTCTGGAAGGGAGTTGCCCTGGGGTGGTTGCAGGCAGCCGTCTGCACTCAGAGTGACAGGAGCTTGTGTTTTCTTTTTTTTTTTTTTTTTTTCTCCTGCAGATCATTGAGAAGAGAAAGAAGCTGGAGGCTGATGGGTTAGTATATTAGTATAGCTGGTCAGTAGCTGGTCAGCTCTGGGGCCTCTGCCCTCCTCACCAGCATTGCTTCCACATCTTGTTTCAGAGTGGAGGTGAAAAGGCCGAAGTACTGAAGCTGTGGCTGCCTTCCCACATCCCATCCTCCAGCACCTGGTGCCCCAGCTCCCTGGATGCTGTTTCTAGAGCTTGCTAATGTGCTGCAGACTGTGTTCTCCTTGTCCCCTGAGCAATCTTCTCTCTGCTCCAGAGATCTCCAGATCTGCTCCTGGTATGCTGGGGAGCTGCGTGTTCAGTTTCTTCCCCACTCTGGAGCCAGCTCTGCAGCGTGTGATTTGTAACCCTTATACCTGCAATAAAATTGCACTAACTTTGAGGGAATGTCGGGGAGTGCGTGTGGGCAGAGAGTGGGTGCCTGGGTGAAAGGTGAGAGCTCATGCTCCTTCCCTCACTGGCACCTGGAGGGCTGTGCCAGTTTTCCCATGACTTGCCCAGCTCAGGACCTTGGGGCTGCTGCTGCCCTGGTCAGGGCAGAGCTGTCTCTGCTCCCGTGTCCCACGTAAGGACGTTCTCCATGAGAGCTACCTGGGGCTGAGCAAAGAGGGACACGAGTTTTACCCAGTCTCGTGTGTCTCACCTGTTGGAATATGAAATGATTTGCAGTTAAGCTTGTACTTAATTGCTGATGGTCCTGCAGAAAAAGTGGTAACAAAGGAGGGAGAAATGACCTCTTGTTTTTACCCTTTCTATGAAAGGGGGAGCATGGGGGCAGTTAAGGGGCTGTGAGAGCTGGGGCAGGGGCAGTAAATCCAGGCTGTCCTAATGCTTGGGGAAATGGTAATAGCTCAAAAGCATCCTTAAAAGAGCATTATCTAAAGAAAAAAAAAGCTGCTGAGCCTCCCCAGGGACCTAGCCTTTGACTGCCGGGTTACCAGGCACTTGTTACCAAGAGATTCTGGCAGGGGAGGGTGCCAGACATCACCTTTGGTTGCTGTCTCTTACAGCTGAGCCTTTGAAAGGGAGGAGCTGACCTAGGGCTCTCCTGGCCCTTGGTTACTGCCGGGCACTGGCTGCACCATTCCTGGGACAAGGGGCTGCCGTGGAAAAGGCGGCTCCCCAGGGGCTCTCCAGGCTGGTCTGGCTGCCCCAGCGGTGCTGCAGGCTGCAAAGGGAGCTGCTGCTGGGGGCTCCCAGCAGCCTCCTGCGTGGGGCAGCCGGGGCCTGGTGTGCAAAGGAGAATTAAGAAAAGAGAAATGAGTGAGCAGTGTGCCCTCGTGGCCAAGAAGGCCAATGGCATCCTGGCTGCATCAGGAGGAGT